AATACAGTCTGTTCAGAATACGACTTTTACTAAAATTACACCATCCCGCTCAATAGTCTACCCGAGCTAATATCTTGGCATTAGCTCCGAAAAACATTCATGGTGTGTTTATTGGTCAAGCCAATTTCGAGATCCTCTAGTAGGCAAGATGCATGTAGCTTGTGAACCAGTATATGCAACTGCCTTTATCGCTAGTACATTATTGGATTGCTCCATAACGCTTTGGGGCAGGTTGAGTTCAGCTATTACACATTAGGTGATGGAGAAGCAGAGATACAGGGGCGGGGATTGATACCTTTGCAAAGACAAATACGAAGAGGCTCAATACACCATAATATGTCAAATGTAGGACGGGTAGTGGGTTATTCCCAAAGCATTACGCCCTTTTCCAACGGTGGAAGCGTGACGGGGGCCATAGGGGCTAGATAGATTTGGCCACTAACCCATGTGTATCTCGCGGTTAGAAATAGAATATAATAATAATTTATTATAAAACTCAGAGCAAGGAGATGTTTCGTTGTGACCTCTCACTCTCATAAAGCGGGGGGTTTCCGCCCAACGCTCTATGTAGCAGCAACATGGAGTTTCACGAAGACTCATACACTTCACCATCTGTCTTTCATCTCTCGGTCACTACTGCTCGATAAATTATGGTAAGCATAGCCCTATCATTATTAAAAAGATATGACATTAGCTGAACTATACATAAGGCTTTACAGATTGCAAGCCACGAAAGTTTCTGTCAGCATCCGGCTCAATCTGTTCTAAAAACTTTGCAGGTGTTTTGCCTGAGTCAAAAACTATTCGGCGGCGAGAATTTCAAGAAAGAAATCAGCAAGAAAGCCAGAATCCTGTTGCAAGAATGCCAGGACCTAAAAGAGGAGGCATTCTACAAGAAAGATGTATCCCGCCTTATGAGTAATGAGCTACTCTGTGACCATATGACAGAGATTTCCAGTGAGCTCACTCAGGATGCTTTGCTGAAACTTTCTCTCCTTGCTCAGCACTTTGACTCAAATGGCTCTGTTTCCGAAGAACTTCGTCAGTTTATCGCGGAGCCCCAGGCCATGTTTCATCGGATTTGCAAGTTCATTTGGAGCCAATATAACGATCAATCGAATAACTGGGTGTTACTCGAAGATTTCGAGCAAGAAATGGTGCGATTGTTGACATTTCTTGAAACTGCTTTTACAACCAGACGGAACGTAATCTTCGTTGAGGCGGAATATTCGGCTAGTTACACCGACTAGTAACAGACTTTAGAATACTGTATTCAAAGCTTTGATACTTTGCCATGTCCTTGTTCCCTCAGGAGCCTCCTTAAGCAAGCAACGATATCTTGTATTGTGTTAACTATATTCGATGTTCAATCTGTACAGACCCAATTATCGATGAGATTCGATGCAAACAACTCTTGAATTGAACTCATTGCCACCCATCAGACAAAGAACTAACAAGTGGCCTCTTACTCCCTGGAGCGTCGCAACTGCGAGTTCTCGACAATGAATATCAGATACTGACACTAGAGGTATCCTAGCAGCATATTATGTCGCCTTCCGGGCTTAAGCTTTCTGTCCAACTGTGAACGTTGGCCCGATGCTTACAAGGAGGATAAGACCCTTAGACAGGGTGGTCTGGCGCTCAACTCAGACGGATTTGCCGACCGATACTTGCAGGTTGCCGATTAGACCCGAACTCTCTTTTCTTAGGACGGTGTAGACGGCCTGAACGATATTGTGTGGTGTGATTACATCCTTGGCTGTTCGAATGAGCGAGAACTTGCCTACCTAAAGTTTATTCATTAAATTTCCGAAATCAACCTGGACCTAGAGCCTTACCCCTTCAAATATCAAATCACGCAGCGGAATCAATGATATATCGATATCGATGGTTGAAACGATAATACCGGAGTCATTAAGGGCGTCCTTTATACGAGGTAGCGTACCGCTGAGCCAGCTGTCTATTTGAGAAATGATTCCACATATCTTGGATTCCACTATCGCATCATGAGGTTCTTGTAAATGTTCAAATGATTGCAAGCATTTGAATACAGTGTCTACATCATCGGTTGCCGATGGCTGATTCTAAGGATATTTGGGTTCTTACCAGACGGCGAACTTGTATCAGCTTTATGCAGTGGGCGGTGACTGTGGCCACGCGCTTGGCGATCGAAGTAAATTGGGACAGACTTTACTGATTCATCAAGAAGAACAGGGCGTGTGCGAAAATTTTGCAAAACTTCTTGATGTGTTACTATATACAAGTCGCCAGCAGGTCTAGCTTTCCAACCACATACCATGGTCGGAAATCGGACTGACACCGTTACACAAATCCTTGCCCAGTGTTCGATGACAAACTGCGATTCAAAGCAATGTGGCGGCTTGGGCAGACAGTTCGATGGGACTGAAGCACCGAGGCACTCTTGATAGCATGGGAAGAATCGCTTGAAGTCTTTTTTCCTCAAACTAAACCCTTCGTGGGCCTCATCATCTACCTCTTGGAGATGTCGGTATAGAGTGTCTGGTCGTGGGAAACCTCGGAGACATTCTGGACACAAAAACTTGATTTTTGATCGTCGAAGAACCTCTTTCTGTGTACTGAATTGCCTTGGAGGCTAGAAGAGAATGAAGTTAAGCGAAGAGGATTGGTCAAGCGGGGTAAAGGATTTATGATGGGCCTTGCTCTCCCCTTCAAGTTTGACGTGTGTTCGGTCTGTTTCAAAGTGGTACTGTATTGGCAATAGGTACCTGCCAAGAATCTACTATCCGTTAGTGCGAACAGGAACCTCTCTCCTTTACCATACTAATACATTTCCTGTTCAGCCAATCAGCGGAAGAAAGCCACTTGTTCTCTTCTCGCTCTGACTTGAACCGGTGCTTGAAATGAGGAACATTTACTACGAAAGCTTTCATTAACTGCTGAGCTCAGTGATAAAACTGGTAGTTAACGCAATATGGAGGCTTCTCAGTGGGCATATCAGTACTGTGGCAAGCGACCAGCAATATCTATTTTTCCAAATTACGTCAAGAAATCTGAGAATCACGATGACTTGGGAACTCAATCTCTACAAGATTAAACGTAATCTTCGGACATAAAGTTAACAGGTACAGTATCTGGGTATCTCGGTTATAAAGGTTTTGAATCTGTTTTTCAACCAGGCTCTTCTTCTTTTCTATAATCTTATCGAGCTTCTGAATATGGGCCATTGTCTCGCGGTGCTGGTTTTTTCCTCTTTTTAATAAGTTTAAATATCTTGTAGATGGCTATCTTTTTTTGATTTTATTAGTTATCTTATCTAGTCGACTCTGAAGTTATTTATTTTTTAAATGTATATTCAAAATTATTTTCATACCCGATTAAGGGAGATAATGCTATGAGATGGTCGAAGAAGCCCAGAATAGTCTGGGCTTTAGGGATCAGACTTATGTATGCCGCGACTGCTATACTCGGGTTTCCGCAAGATATAGCTGACATTGAAAATCAGAGGATCTGTAGAAGCATGCAAGATACAAAGCAGACGCTGTTATTCCCTATAGTTTGAATAAACTAGCAAGGTCAATCCAGTTTATGTATTGTAGAGAGCAGGTCGAGGCTGCTCGCCGACAGTCCTCACGTCTCTCACTCTTATTTCACTCTTCATTAAGTTTGCTTGATTGATTTAATACGAGAGTGCATAGGGGACTTGTGGCATACTCTATATGGCTACTACACCACTGAACCGTATCGAAATTATCTGGTCACTCTAACCTCGAGACGCCTGGGTATCTTCCGGGTCACAAATCTCAGACGCCAAAGAGCTTAATCACATGATCTTTGTGAGCTATGAGTTGTTCTAAACGTAATCATCTTAAAGATCACGTGAGCGGGGTAATCACTGCTAATCAGATGTCAGGACACAGAAAGGGGCATGCGAATCAAGGGGCCATCTTGGAATGCAACGACAAGCTCCATTTTCATCAAACAATCGGAAACTGCTGCTCACTACTTCTCTTTTCATCTTTCCAAACTCATCTCTGCCTCACTGAACTACGATGGCCTGCGTACTAGATCCAGGGATTGATCAACCCACATTCGATCTCATTGTCCAGCTACAACTCCAAGACGCGGACCTTTACTTTGAGTCGTCAAAAGGGAAATCGCGCGATCCTACAGATGAGGAACTGGCTTTCCAACTACAAAATGAGGAATGGGGTAATATCTCTCAGTATCTGCAGGATAGGCGGATGGCCATGAGTTTCGCAGCTGCCGTGCAAGCTGATGGACATGTTTTGGCCGAAACCCGAGTTGAGGAAGAGAACGCCTCAAAAGACCGGACTATTGCTCACCAATGGACCGAAGATGGATGTGTTATGCCTTCGAATGAGCTTGAATTGGCGCCAGAGGCTTTGGACGACGAGACTCTAGCTAAACTTCAGATCTTATACGTTAATAACATGGAAGACTACAACACTATAGGAGACTTGGACACAGCAGACTGTGAAAACGAGTGTGCTGAATCATCTGCTCAGGCTATCCGACGAGCTAGTCGCTCTCTACCGCGAGCCCGACGATGTGTGGCTTGTAGGGAACCAACCGATTTCGTCAACGTGGTCCGCGCTCCTTGTCAGCACGAGTATTGTCGGTCCTGTTTGGCGGATCTTTTCAAAACTTCAATGACAGACGAGTCACTTTTTCCTCCGCGATGCTGCCGAAAACCCATAAATTTGACCATCGCTCGCATATTTTTGGATTCTGCTTTAGTGGATCAATATGAGAAAAAGAAGGTTGAATATGAAACCCCAAACAGAACGTACTGCTACTCTTCCAATTGTGGTGCATTCATCAACATGTCTTACATCGATGGTGAAGCGGCCACTTGCCCTGATTGCGGGCACACAACTTGTACGAACTGCAAAAGACGAGCACATACGGGTGACTGTCCCGACGACACCGCCTTGCAACAACTACTAGTAACGGCGCAGCAAAATGGGTGGCAACGTTGCTTTTCCTGCTGGCGAATTGTGGAATTAGATCACGGTTGCAATCATATGACGTTTGTGGTCCTAATCCCCTCAAGCCCTTCTCCTTGATTCTACTAAAATTCACTCTGACGAAAACTGACAATAGCTGTCGCTGCGGTGCTCAATTCTGTTACAATTGCGGATTGGAGTGGAAGAATTGCCAATGCGAACAATGGAACGAGCATCGTCTCCTAGCACGTGCATATCAAATAATCGATCGAGAAGCAGATCAACCGGCCACTGTAGCCGTTCCGCAAGACATCGACGAGGCTATTCTGGAGGACCAGCTCGTACCAGCGGCCTATGAGCAGCCTCACTTGCAAACTCAGCAGACGCAACATGATGTCGCGAATTCGACAGATGCGGAGCCGTTTGCAACCCCAGAAGTACTTCCGTCGTCAACTACACGGACAGCACGAGATATTTTGATCGCAAGAACCATTCAGGAGCTCAGAGATAGCCACGAGTGCGGTCACAGCAAATGGAAATACTTACGTGGGCCTCATCGATGTGAAGAATGCTCTCATCACTTGCGTGAATATATATTTGAATGTCGTCAATGCCGAATTCAAGCGTGCAATCGGTGCAGAAGGAACAGACTTTGATGGTAATCATGGAATATCCTCAAGATATACTGCCCTAGTTGAACCGCTTTTTAGCCTCAGAATTGGATGAAATAGAACAGGGCGGCCAGGGGGCACAGGCTGACGACTCTTCAAACCATTTCTGCAAAAATCTGCCCTCATACAATTAAAGCAATCTTGCAGGGAAGAGAAGAACAAGCTCGATTATGGGAATATCGCCTGCTTCGTCAAATTAAAATATATCATGGTGGTATTAATCTTTGAAATCAGAATCTGCTCTTTTTCTTATTATCGAATCACCTTCTTAGACGAGCACACTGAGGAAATTGCCCTGCTTATGCTGCTTCTTGTTGATTAGTGGTCAAACTATCTTACTAAAAAGAGCGGCACTTCATCTAAGTAGTTAGATATGTGTTACATTCTGCTCGCATTATTACGTCGGGCAACCGCAGCTCATATTTGTATTCAAAGAATATACAGACAGGAGGCATTCCAGCTGTCCTTCTAGTACCCTCTGTGACAACTTGCACGATGTGATCGAGCTACGCGGTTGGAGTGTTCGAACGATGCAACGCTTGTGTTGAACAAAGGTATCTGACCGAAGTATGACAGAATAGTAGAATTGGCATGTTGACGAGAAAATAATTTTATTTGCCCTGTGAATCGCAAGCACTGGTTGCACGAGGTGCCTTGAACATTTGAACCGTGAACAGAGAAAAGAATACAATTTTCTAACACGTTCGATGGTGTTCAACCGCCTAAATCAAAAGGCTACCCTAGACCAGTCATATTTCGTATGTTGAGCGGGAAGGCTGTCTAGTTGAATCTGTCGAGATTGTTCTTGGTCGTGTTCATCTTTCGCCTGAGTTGTACTGTTGATTAGCCAGAAAAGTCATTGGTTCATCCAAGTTTTCGGCTTTTGATCTCAGTTGAGACAGAGGGCGGCGTTGGAATGCTTGTAATTAGAGATTGTACGAGCTGCTGATTCATCGCGGTTTGAACGAAAAGAGAGAGTAGGAAGCTTGTTGCAGCGTGAAGTCTCCGTATCCCTCTTCTTGATGGGACACACTTTACTACCATATTCACCAAGGTAGTCTACGCGGATTATGGCCGATCAGAATCGAATATCTTTGTATCTTACCACAGCTATTATTCCTGTCAACCGTTCTATGTCCCGGAAACATTGTCGCATTTCTGAAGTCCAGCCGTTGTTGATACTAGCTTAGGATCCGGATCAGCCACAAGGTGCGGCTTCACCACGCTATCCAGATTGACTTCTCGTACTGGCGAAAGAAGCGATGGTATAAATGGAGGCACCTTCATTTATCCCGCCGGCCTGTATCTCTTGGGCTGAAGCATGTCAGTATCGATGCTACTTTTTGTGAGAGGAAAGGGCACAAAAGCGTACTTCGTGCTTGGCAGGCTCTTCAGAACCCCTCAAATATCAACTCGCGTCTGGTGGCTGGGCCAGAATAAATCAAAATTTCGCCCCAGTCATTTGTCATATACTCGAAGAAGTGGCAACCCCCAGTAGCACAATGGTAAAAAATTGACCGCGGAATTCCAGCTCTTCTGCCCTCTGCACCTGATATAACACGTCTGCTGAATTGCATACCATCGTTGCAGAAACATGTGGGATTTTCCGCCAATACGCCTCGCATATCTCCGAAGCAGGAGAATCTTCCACATCTGGAGCAAGTGTAGTATGGACGATAACCATTGCCGTTCTCATTCGATGGAAGGGTAAAGCCTATACCAGTTCTTTCGCCACATTGCAGGCAGCGAGGTGGTGTTTGGATCGCGACATGAGGCTGTTCGGGACTGGCGAAGCTCAAGGCTTGGCTGTTCATTCTCAGTAACGATACACCTGTACAAGGCTTGACTGGTAGAAAACTAGTTGACTTGCTGAGTAGAAATCTTTTGATCAATAAAAGACATATAAGGTGGTTTCGAAAAACCAGAAGGTAATAATTTCTCCTTGACTTAAACGCATGGAAGGTACACACTATGGAAAGAGACGAGGCACAAAGTCAGCCATGCAATACTGCCCAAGCGCGGGGTACTTTGCATCGGCATGTCTTGCGGCACCAAAGGAGTTTTGTCCAGGAATCGCGCATACTGCAGCAGCATAAATCATCTGATACAGAATATAACTACTTAGAAAAAAATTTTCCATTTTGTTCTAGGAAATACTAAATTAGACTACCAAACTAAATCCTTATAATTCTAGATGTCTTGTTTATTGCTAATACTGTAAAAAAAAGCTAAGAGCTGAAATCAAGAAACAGACAGAGCATCTTGCAGAAACAAAGCAGAAAGTGGCACATTGCAAGAAATAATTAAAACTAAAGATATAGTTATTAGCAATCTCGAAACAGACAAGATCGATCTGAACTGCTTTACAAGGCTTAAAAAATCAATTCAGGCATTAAAAAAGCAAACCAGAATCTTAAGTTGTCACTTCTCGTAGGAGAAATTTGTGGACTCACTTGGCATGTTCTAGTCGACGCAGAAGCAACCCACCTAGGGGTAAGCGTCAAGTGGAACAGACTTCTCAAATTATTTCACTATGCAATCTACATAAATTATACCTCGAAGATTGTGCAATGTGAAGGCACCCACATATCACCAACTGTCTTCCAGATTCTTCTCAATAATAGTGTTCCAATTCTCCTGAAGCGCCTCACGCTCACTGTCAGAACCATCAAGATAGTCCCACTTCTCCGCTGCTTCTTCTCTCTTCATGGCCAGCCGGCTGTCCCTGTCTACCCAATATTAGCCGACTCTCTGATACTCGCATAATCTCTTGAAAATACCATTTTTGACTTGTTCTGGATCAATTTTCTCAACGATAGCGGCTGACGGGATATTATGAAGGCATAGATACGTGCCACTGATGTGCTGATCCGCCTTGTCTGGTAGTCTCAATTCAAGATCTTTAACTAGATCCTGCAGCCTGAAGAAGCAGGCATCATCCAAGCGATTTGTATCGATAACGTAAAGGGCCCAATTACTGCGCGAGAGGTATGGCGCCTTGCCCCGCCAGGGTTGTTTTAGCCCCCAATTCTCTGCATGCTTCCACCTACCGCTTTCTGAAGTACTAAGATTTACTCTTCTATTTTCTGTCTGTCTTTTGAACAAAATGAGAGTGAATCTTGATCAAATCGAGTTCTACCATGGTCCAAGCCAGCCGTCCTGCAACATTCGGAGGAATTCACTACAAATCCATAATCCACAAACTTCCCAGAATTTCTCTCCCACTGAGGTAGTTCCTGGACTACCAACTTCAAAACAGGACCTACCATTTAGCGGGACTGCTTATCTATGGAATACATTTGACTTTGAAATTGAGCGGCTCTGTGGCGTCACTGAGCATCAAACGACAAAAGATGCCGAAACATCTATCGCACCAATCGTTCCAGCCGCGCTTGACATTCAGTCGGATAATAGAGGCTCTCGCTTAGCTTCATCCGAGCCAGTCCTATTCGAAGACACCTCAGCGACACCAGTACCGTGCCGCGCAGACCAATTGGATCATGTTTCTCCCGATGTACAGGAGAATGAGTTGCCGAGGAAGTTGGTATAAAACTCGACAGTATTATAGATGAACCCCTCTTTTTCTAACATGCTCCAGATTTCGTGCCTTATAGCGAAGCTGCGGAAACAGCTGAGATTTCACGCGTTCCTTGTGTGACTGCGACTGCATTCAGACAAGGAGGCAATGCCAGTAGCAGCCTATCCACATCGAATGAATCCTATCGGGAATCCGTGCAGGGAAGCTCGCTGATCACACGGGCTCTTTCAGAGTGTACCGGTGCTATACCTGGTGAAACGATTACGAACCCGTGCTAGTCACCTGAGCTAAGTGAAGTTTTATGCTCCCATGCAATTGATGCTTCGAAGCGGGCTGGTAGTTCCGGTAGCGCCGGAGCCAAGTCAACTACCTCTGGCCTTTCTTCTCGCTCGAACCGGTGCTCTAGTCTAGAAAATTCCGGCGCCAGGACAATTCCAGCTTGCAACGGCCCAGTACGCTACCCGTCAGTAGCTGTGGTTGTACCCGCGCCTTCATGGAAGCAGCGAAGAGCCACCAGGGCAAGCACAAGGGCCGCTGCGGCAACATGCAACAAGCGACTTCGCTCAAACCAAGCCGCCATTAATCGAAGTGGTCCAGATGCATTTTTCCTTCGCACTGAGGGCTCGACTCCGAAGATGAAGACCCGGAAGCCTGCTTCCAAGTGTGTCTCTCGCCCTGCGGAAGTTTCAATTCCCGCTTCATGCAATTGTACCCGTGATATCCATGGGATTCGCTGAAACGCTCTGCTCACAGTTGTATCTGATTCTGGAGTGAAACCTGCGTATTATTTCACCTTTGTGCCTGACACGAGTTCGACGTCGTATCAGGCGCATCCGGGGGAAACTCCAGGGAAACAAAAGCCATACACGTCAGATGAAAATGCGCTGTTGGTTCGGCTGAAAGAAAGAGAAGCAATGTCGTGGATTGATATTGCAGACTATTTTCCTGAACGCACTGTCTCATCCCTACAAGTCCACTATTCGGCTAGATTACGGGCATAAGGCAAGATCGAAATTCTGAAGAGGGCGGAGACTTTGATAAGAGTGGGTCTGGAGTTGTCAATGGCTCTTAGTGCGCGCAAGACAAGATACAAAGAACATTATCTGGAATCGGCTAATGCTGCTGGGAGCGCTTCTTTTCAATCATTTAGGACCTGTTAAAGGCAAAGAGATATCGTTCAAGACATAGTCGGCCATTCGAACCACAATTAGAGGTAGGGTCTTTTGGTCTCTCGGCTTTTATGTTGATCTATAGAAAAAATCCTTTGATGAGGCATCTTCTACCTCATAAGTTAGAGTGCTATGCAGGTAAACTATTTTCAGCGCCGGAATCCCAGCGCCTAGATTTACACGTCAAGCGTAACTACCTTATAACACAATCAACCAGCCAATTGAAGACATCGACTAAGTACAGCCATATTAAAAGAGCCAATTTCCATAAATACCTGTCCATTAAAAAGATTCCCACGCACCTATGAAAGGTAGGATGGCAACTTTCGACCATCAAACAACTTAACTGCTAAAGTTATTCTTCAAATACCTGCCGTTTATTAAATTGATTTACCTGGCCCCGATTTGTTCAACGGCTCTTTTGAAACTTTTAATGACTAATGAAGTCGTTATTGCGGCATCGGCCCTCGACGTTGGGTAGCACGATGAACGGTAGTGAGGAAAATGAACAGCATATGACTTCTCCCTTCCCGGCTTGCTTACTTGTCTCCTACCATCCAATATGGTCGTAAAATGGATATTTGAGAAGAATATCACTATGTTGACGAGCGGGTAGAGGGCGAGGAACGACAACAGATGCCCTTGTCGAGCAGACGGGAAACGGCGAAGCGGATAAATAGTTCCTCCGCCCCTCTCGCACTATGCTCTTCGGAGAACAAGGTCTAGAAGAAGGTAAAAGCAGAAGGATATACGTCGAGAGCAGACCCAGTTTCATTACGATTGCTTTAGAAAGACTCGTGATAAGGACGGACTAGTCTACCTGCAGCCTTAACTAAACATCGGTTCTGCGAATCGGTCTGTGAATGCTGTTGTTTCCGCGATAAGATATACGTGACATCACTGCCATGGATATGGTAAGCCACTCAGCCTCTAATCACCAAATGGTGCCACTGACCTTAGTGTATATACTCTCCTTTGGTCTGAGGTGGTTTTGCTAGGATCTCAGTAACCAAATGCTTCTCACGATAAAGCTAACCCGAAGATAAGTGGGCGAGAGGTGAATCAAACCCCACTGTTCTATATTATCTTAGAGGCTGTGGAGTCTCGAGTGGCCTTACGATGGATCCAATGAATACTTATTCCAGATCTCCATTTCATCCAGGAAGGGGACACAAAGGAACGATACTCATGAAAAGCAGGTCTCATATAAAAAGATTAGAATACAGCGATTTCTTTGACGCAGCTGTCTGCCTGGAGTTTCGCCAAGTCTCAGCCATCTCAACAGGATTCCGTCCGTGTCTTTTGCGCTTCTGGTACAATTCCAGTCATGGCTATTAAATTGGGTTAAGAACTGACACCGATAAGATCCTCGTGCGATCCGCAAAAAGACAAGGGACCTGACTTGCGTCTCACGATACAAGAGAGACCTGAAAAATTTAGCTCCAAGGACTACGCGGAAGGTCTCTTTCACACAATAGTCTGGTACTCTGTTTCCATCACTGGAGTGGGGACGTCCAATAAGCAAACAAATGCCATCCGTGCGAAGAGAGAGCATAAGCGACAAGCTGGCTACTCAAATATCTAGATACTTCATTTCCAGCACACATCCTGCAAATCATGCTTGTTCAAGCCGATGCTGTTTTCCTAATCTTCAGTCTCTTGATGCCGAGGTTGATGACGCATGACCTTGACGTACCTAACCTTCTGACCATTACTTTCTTCATTATGCGACTCCTGCGCGGTGTCAACTTCGGCCTCTAAGCATCTAAAAGTGATCAGACTTTAGTGACTTCCTTCATTTGGTAGCTAGAATGGAAGTGTTGCAGCACCCGCGATTCGTCATTGGTATAAAGCTGTGTAATGAGGCTGTTAGTAGGGCAATAAGTGACAAAGACCAATCAAATTCTGGCACAAAGTGACCAAGCAACCTGGCAAAGCGAGTGCCCGTAAACACTCAAACAATCCCCAAATGTGCACAACCCATTTCAGGTAGTCCCTTAAGGCAAGGAACACATACTAAGTAACAGATAGAGTTAGTTCTTCCTCTGATGGTCCTAACCTCAGTCATGGCCTTGGTCAGCTGCCTGCCCTGCGAGGTATTGTACCTACCGTCAAACGTTGCACGTGGGAAGCACGCGGTATGCTAACCCAAGTGTCGTAGGGCTCAGTTCGATGACCTATACTGATGAGTAGCGACGATCGGTATTTAGGAGATTCACTGGCATCTCAAACCAGGTAAAGAATCTAGTGAGCTCCTATTGTTCGGCATTTAGATATCTCTCAACCCGTGCCACCGTACCTCAAACATTTCGCTCTGATAAATGATATAGATATTGGAAGGGAAGGGTCATTTGTCACTAAGTAGTCCATGCAGTCCAACCAACATGTGAAGTCAACTAGTGACTCCTCGGAAAATTTTAAAGTTGTGGAGTTACTCCACTTAACCAACATTCCACTCCAGGTATACGCGTTCAACTCGTAAAAATAATTCTCACTCACCACTCCAAGCGATGACAGCATCACTGGCTGGCTAGCGTTCGATTGTGAGGACTCTTTCGCAACGTTTCTCGCGATCATATTCACTCCGTGGTCTAACTACAAACAAAACGTGTCAATAAACGAGGATCCCCGGATGTACACATATTGTCGAATTGTTATCGTGCTGGGCGCTAATATCAGCTCTGAAGGAAAGGATAAAATGGAATCCATGTTCATGGCTAAGTATGACAGGGGATTATCGCTATTTGGATTAGCTATATTCGAGTTTTATTATCACCTAACTCCGACAAAATAGTCACACAGGTCTCAATAAATCTAGCAGTCCATCAGAATCGAAATGCTTCTCTGTAATAGCCTCAGTTGTTACAAGTTCCTCCAGCTTAGTCGGGCGAATTGCCTCAAGGTTAGAGAGCATTTGCAAACGTCGAATTCCAGTTCTACTACATCTTCTCAGAAAAACGCCTCGCTTCTCATCCAACAAATTGACAAATCCATCAAACTCAAGTTGTGAGACCTGATGAATGCTACGTTTGATTGTTAATCTTATTTTGTCACGGCACTCAAGAGCAAAACGCTTGATCTTAGGTTAATGGAGTCTCGATTGGTCCACCAGGGTAGACGTTGACCAAGCACTCAGGACTCAGCAGATGCCAAGTCCTACAACAAATTACCTTTGAAAACTGTCCGTATTGCATCGAGTTGAAATGTGCTCCCGCCGAAATAAGGCCACGGCCATGAAGGGCTTTTATTTGCCCTGGCCGTAAGCCCCAGTTAGGGATTATTAACAAACTTATCTTCGGCTAGTCAACAGTCGTCGCTGCGGAACTCATTAGCAGGATCCTGCCAAGATACTACCGTGATTGTTCTTCGAATACTCAGCACCTTGATTGATTAACCTTCGGCCTCGTCTGACGGTACGTTTCACTTCAATGCCTATATAAAGGGAGCAGGGAAGCAAAGATCATATGACCTAGATGATCGAAATTGGCTTTCTACGACCCTTCAATGTAGTCCAGGGAGGGGTTGAGACGGGGAAAGAGGAGTGTTCCGTGACTGCATAAGCCATGAAGCGGCACATTTTACTGTAGATGATTATTGGCTGGAGGCACCATGGAAAGTTAGTTATTAAGACGCCTCGCATGTCAAAGCGCAGATGCGTGACACTACTTACGCTCAGCTAAGAACACACCAGAACGACAGCATTCCAGTAGCTTATGTATGCTCCGAGGAAGCCTTCTTGCCTCTCATTTATTCTGTAGCCTCTCTGATTGATTTTCTGCTAGAGCAATTTCCAAAAGATAGGCGTCTTGGGTCATATTCGACAGGCCGCAAAACTTAGCAATGGGCATAACAGATAGCAAGATGCTGGCGGAGAAGGTGCTTACCGCTTGCGAAGCGGCCCAAACGCAGGGCAAGTGTGAGCTGGACGTTGACTCTTTTTGGAGTGATGAAGTAAGTACGTCGCACGCTTTTTTTGGGGAATGCACCTAACAACAGAAGGTTGTGTCAAAGGTCGCCAAAAAGATTTTTCAACACATACCTAGACGTATTCGTGGTACCGTCCGCCAGAATGCTGCGGAGAGGGCCGCCGTCAGATCCGGTTCAAAGATCATCATCCCTAGAGTTGTTAAAGACATACAAGCCAACCAAACTAGAGTTCTGGAAGAGCAAGGTTCACGGCAAGAAATTTACATGTCTATTCTTCAGCGTGGATATCTGCAAAACCAATCGACGAAACATTCCTCGCTAGCCGGATGTTACATGCTAATGGAAGACGTCGAGAAAGAGAACGACGTTGGCCTTATCCGCCTTCGATTTCACTGCCTTTTGTTTTATCACTTAAAACAATACATACAGCCGAATGGATTTTGGAACGACTCTATAAGTTTTATGGTGGAAGTGATTGGCATTTCCGGCCTGGTTGAAGACTCGAAAGATATCATACGGGAGAAACTGGTGGCCTGGACAGATAAAGGGAAGAGATATGCTCTTCTAGCGAGAGATCTAGGAGGATTAGGATCTTTGCTGGTCCTACCAGGTGATATCCCTGAGTCGGTGTAAGCTCGCTTCCTATAAACTACTTCTTTCTCGCTGGTGATGTATCTTCAGGTGGGTTAAAGATCTTCCAAAGTCGGCAGATAATGAAAGGCGCATCGGCGTGTTGGATAATTTGAAGGGACGAGGGATTATTCCTATTGCTGAAAGCCTCAACATGACTGCGCAAGTGGAATTGGATAATCTTTGGAATCAGGTTAAAGTCTCGGTTGATATGGAGGTTAAACGACAGCGACCGACTATCGAAACAAGTCTGCTGCTTGTCATTTCTACCTATATCCAGCGCATCGACGGGGCTTTTTTGGAGCCATTCGCGGCCCTAGCTTGAAGATGTCATAAATACGCGTAGATTATCCTTCACATTCCATACTTCGTTCGCTAGACGTCGAATTTACTTGCTGTCTGTGATGGAGCAGCAACCGCTGAGATAAAGGAGTCATTGCAATCATATCATTCAGGTCACGTGCTCACTACCAGTTATCATTTCTTATTCGTTGTGCAGTATTCTTACTAATTTGGTTCTGCTCGGGTGCGCGTGTAGCCGCTAATGGATATACAGAAAGCCTTCCGGCACAAATATGAGAGGCTCTTACAGTGTTCATTATGTAGTGCTTCAGAAGGCCTCGTGATAACCCTCTGCAACCCAATACGTCGTCTGTGAACCTTCTGTCAATCGAGGTTCCTTTAAAGGCATGCGACCTAGTAAGCATGGGCCATGGCTGGAAATGGCACTTAGAATTGAAGGTAAAGTGAAATAAGCAAAACATCTTTATTTGTTTCTGAAGATTCGCTGAGATTAGAGAAGGTATGAGGGTAGTTCAGTTCCTGTTCAAGAAACAACATACTGTATCAGATAACGCTCCCGGGCGACCGTTCTCAGCGCTTTCGCGTGTCCACCTCACGAGGAACAGGGTACACGAAACACAAAGCTAACAAGACGGATTGGAGAAAAATAATAATGAGGGGATACAGAGCGACATGTCACCCAAGTCCAAAACAAAAGCGGCATCCCATCTCATAATTTATTACTGGTGGCTAATTGGTTGATTTATGGTCAAGTGGCAGTCTTACCAATGCGTGAACCGTAGTTCCCTAAGAATGTAGAAAGCGTAAAATATGCCTTTAACCACGTATGCTGGTCCTGACTGAGGTTTGCTTTGTATATGGATCACGTAATTTGCTTAGCCGCTCAATTCAAACATCTGCAAACCACTTATGAGCTAATGCCTCGCGCGCTGTAATCCTCATTTCTGGATCAAAGTTTGTCATAGCACAAATCAGATGTTTGAAGTCATCATCAACTCCACTCCAGAGAGAAAAAGGCCTTCGCGGGTTGTCTTTATTGAAACCATCTCGAATGGTCTCAAAGACTTGTACCCAAGGATTGTCCCCGAGATGGTTCAGGAGACCGTTTAACCCATCCATGTCTGCAAAGTAGGAAATTTGACGCTCGATCACAACAGCCAAAGGGTCCACACCTTCTTCCAACTCATCTTCTCCGACAGCAAAAATCACCCTTTTATGCATCGCATAAATGCACTGGAAGTACAGTGAGCTCGCCGCCAGAAACAAAGATATTTATAAACTTACCACAAGAGCAAAGGAGAAAATATCAGATGGTTTATTCACGGGCCCCTTGGCATGGGCTTCAGGGCTCCTCCACATCCAATTTCCTGCCTGTTTCCCAATCATAGACGAGCCGGGAGGAATGTGTGCGGCATCCTCAAGATCACCAAGCTGGACGCGTTCAATAAGAATTTCAGACTGGTCGTTCCTGTAGTCAACGAAAATATTGTCCGCCTTAATATCTGCACATGGTGAGCCCCTTCTCACTGCAACTCGAAAGGTTCAGCTCACCAGTATGTACAATGTCCTGATCATGAAGCTCTACTATCCCACAGAGGGCGTCCTTAAGTATTCGTTTCCTCACTTCGAAAGAAAGGTCCATCTGAGCTAGGTGTAGAAGGTGGTCTGCAAAGTACTTGAAGACAAACATCGATTTCTCGGGTATGGTGTCTTGAGGAAGTCGGACATGGCTAGCATGGGCTCGCAATCTATCATTTATCGCTTCAAGATCGTCGTAGTTGATACCATGTATATATTTCAGTATGAAGGATTGATTTTTGGCACTAGGTGCAATTAGTTGATTGCAATGAATGATTAGATCCTACTTACGTTGCAACGTAAACATGGCGTGGCGGGCATGTCTCTTCCTGAAGTACCCGTTCGATGTTATATCTGCAACCTGACTGGCCGATGAAGGGACCAGTCCGAGCGGGACCCGTCGCCATAGTTCTCGAGCTATAGCAAATAACGGTCTCTGGCAAGGCCAACCTGCGATTCAGATTCCAGAAACTGGACTTCAAATATACTCGATTTATGGAAGCACTAGCAGCTAGGAAGGAGAGTTGAGTCAGTGGTGACATCAGGAATGTGAAGCTCAGGAAGTCAGTAGGCAGTTTCGGACTGATCGAGAAATTGAACTGGAGTCGACGTGAGGAGAGTCAACGTCCTAGTTTAAGTACCTGCATCAGGTTTCATTAATAAGCAGCACCGTTATGATCATGTGATCGGTCATGTTTTGTCGCAAACATACAGGACGTGGTTTGCTGGATTTCCTAAATGAATCGAACTCGCTTAGTCATAATACATGTAAGCCTCATCCAGCAGATGACTCGGAAACTCTCATTATGACAACAATCTCAGACCCCACAAGTTTCCCTTGGTTAGTTTCGGTGCCCTCGTTACTCCCTTATTTAACCGAAGTAAAAATGACTGGTAATTCCCTGTGCCTTGTTTAAGCCTATGGTCCAGGGGTGCACGAAAGGTTGGCCACTAAGAGAAAGCCGTGCTCGGATAAGTTTGGCGCAACTTTTTGGACTTTTGGTATGATAAGGCGGAGATTCCCTAGGCACAAAATTCAGCGAGTGATATTGCCACACCATCTTACTATTTGAGCAGCATACTGTCTGTATAGATGTTCTCATGCTTCGCTTAATTTGTAGTTCATAAGTCTGGACCCTATAGCTCAAGTAGCTTAAGGGTATCTTACCATCATTCTACGAGAGCGAAATAAAGAATATGACGAGAATAGGATTAGAACTATGACCAATACAGAAATCTACTAAGATGTGAAAGGCCCAGGTATGACACTGGTCATAGTAGCATTTATATGGAACGAAGACTCAATAGTAAACATGGACTGGATGTAAAGAGTGACTTTGGTAAGAACAAAATAAGAGAACACTCCATAACAGGCCAAGCACAAACGGAGAGAGTGTTTCAGGCTTGATCGGAAGCTGCCAATCGGAGTCATGCGAATGTCGCAGGGCCATAGACAAACCCATTACTGTGGAATCTGCCGCACGAAGTGTGTTGTACGTGTAACAGTGCGGTCGCTATTTAGCTCGTACGCAGTGTAGTGCTTGCGTTTATCCAAGTCACTTTTATGCTCGGATTCCCTTCCTCGGAAGTCAGTATGTATACCATAGAAAAACTGAAATCGTCTTACTTCATGGCTACAAAGGCAGTAGTAGGCTGAAGAGTCTCGAAATTGTCGGTCACGACTTGGACAAACTCGGTCTGGACACTTGTAGCAGGGGAGCCTGTTGGACGGATCCAAGTAGTCGTTTTATCAACGTACTCAACGATCACCATTTTACCTCCCTTTTCGATCGATTGAATGAGACGACTGGAAATGTATCGTGTTGCCATTTCTGCAAAGCGATAAGAAAAGTTTTTGCGTTTTTATCTGGAATGGCATGAAAATATAAGGCTTGGAGTATCAGGAAACTGCTTTTCCATTCATCGGTGGGAATCGTTGGCGGACATTTACTCCTCGTCCCAGTGTGGTCTTTTATACCTTTCTACCTTTGTGTCGGGCACCACGGATGAAATAGTTATTGAACTTCCTCGTTGCTGGCTATCAAAGCAGTAGCAACTTACTTCAGCACCTATCTTGCGAAAGAACAACCGACCATGCAAGAGCATTTCTGAAAGATCAAAGCTACAAGGACGGACTAGAGCTCTTCGGAAATACTTGGACAAAAGATAGGTCAAGGGAGACAGGAGTGCACAGTCGGCTCAAGTGTAACGAAGTAAAATCCCTATCACGTCTAATCATGGGAAAGGAAGTGATTCTGCGCAGAATGCTTTATTCAGAAAACGGCTTAGTTCTTACATCACGCACTTATCCTGCCGAAGAAACATCGCGCTAGTGCCATTTCTCTGGGCCGAGAAGCAGCCAATGAGTCCGAGCACGAATTTACATTCACGAATGAAAGCTGCAGGCTCCGTCGAAATTGTGACGAAGAGAGCACCTCAGTACATTCGTGAATGCTTCGGTTTGCGGATATATCGCATCTGCACCTTTCCTTAACTTTCTCCAATCAATGAAATAATATCACAATATACGAACACCTGACTACGAATATATACAGCTCTAGCGAATAATGTTTCTAGCTGATGCTTGTTGACGATCATGTAGCTCTGTTTTGGAGCGGGTCGGGGCGAACGGGGACTTGTCATCGAATGATCTTTCCTCATGCTTACAATCATTTCCCACCACCACTTGTAATATTTGCAAGCTCACTCTAGATACCGATGAATATTTCTCTGTATAATTGAGATGTCAGGCTTCCCAGACACTCACCGACATTTAGCACTGGCCAAATCACGGTCTGAACTATTTGATTCCACAATCACTGAATTATAACTTCGCTATGGCTTGGTATAGTGCCTTATTCCCGTGCATGCCGTGGTTTAAGAACCCCCTAAGGCGTAATAGCACCAATCGGAATGAACGGAGTGCAGATGACCTTACTTCGTTGACCGATAAGATGCCTAATCTTGGAGAAAAGGCAAGTATGATTACTCTATAAGAGATTGCTTCTAAGAATCTAACCACTTTGTGAAGATCGCACTCACAGAATACGTCGATGGAAAGAGTTTCATGGCACAAGCTGTCTTGCAAAATAAGCCGGTGGATGACCGAAAGCATTGCGGCTTCGGGGGCTCTGATTTGCACAGCACTTCAGCGACTAAACCCACTGGGATTTGTTCCGATAGTATTTCAGATCAAAGTACCAGTGTCGGAGAAACCAATCACGAGGCCCTGAGAGAGCCTGAGCTCTTTGCTGTTCGCTCTTCATACATCGACGAATCAACTGGTAGATGGATGGCTAGCCTCTACTATGAGCTCTCACTAAGCCTTGATGACCTCGAGATTAAAGGTTATGAATCTCATATCTCGGAGTCGAAGAATGATTCTATCGAGGCTATCTTTCACTATAAGGGAGACAGTTTCTGGATATCTGTTCCTTATTCCTATGCCATATCTCGAAGAATTTCAAGCGGTCTTGACTAAGTGGTCACACCACCTGTCTGTCAATTTGTTATACTGCTGCTTCTACTTGCTCTATGCTATTGTGTGCATTTTACAGCTTTGATAGTTACCCCTAAACCCCTAAACAGAACACATCATAGCTTGATCTTAACGTATTGTCAACCCCATGGCATAGTAAAACAAGAAGTCATCTTCGTTCCACGTAATATTTGTTTTCATATGCATCATCATATTATTCATCGATCACAAAGGGCTTGGGTAGGCTAGCTGATGTATTTTGAAGCAGAGATTTTGAAGGACCGGAGACACATATAGGTAAAAGCTATTCCTTTCCACATCCTTCTTACATTTCTGCCGTGAGCAATATATAGCTTGGCCCCACACTCTATCTATGCACGAATGATCATATCTCAACTGGGTCGGAGTCGCCTACGATAATCAAATCGCCCCTTTTCCTTTTGGGGCTTATTCTAAAATGGTCAGACGGGACTGGTCTAGAGGAAGTTTTAGCTATGCAAGTTACTATGAAAGCAGGCTTACCTGTGCCAAAAGTTGATTGTTCAACACAAGACACCTGCCAGTGTACAATAATTTTGTGCAATGTACGACACTAATTCTTGGTAATAGAGATTGAAAAAGAATATTGTCATCGTAGTCTTTGCAACTGATCTTAAGCCAGAAAGGACAGATTAGCAGCAGCACCGGTTCAAGCACAGCACCGGTTTACGCACAGCACCGGTTTACGCACAGCACCGGTTTACGCACAGCACCGGTTTACGCACAGCACCGGTTCTTGGCATTTTAAACAAGTTCATCTCGTACCCAAGTCTTCTAGGACCTAAACAGAAACTACGCTTCTGGCGATTTGTATGTATTGATGCATTCTTAACCAAAACCGTCCTAATATCCAGCGAACTACTAGGCAATGCATGATTCCCCCTCCTCCTCATCATCATCAATCATCTTTCCTACGTCTTTTGATTGGCAACTGCAGCTCTGAGTTCTACCGAGTCAAATCCTAGTTCTAAAACGTAAGTTATCTATATGCATGCTTCCTAGAACCACGGTGCCGCGTCCAGCCTCCGCACTTTTCGGGGTATCCCTCAATAGTATCTCCAAAACATCAATTTGCAGAATAATTCACTCTTGTACAGGGCCGCATGATGTAACGCTCTCATCACCATTGCCGAAAGCCGCCATCAGAAGCCATATGAAGGAAATACTAGTAAGTTTTTAAAGCCAAAATTCTCCATGCTCACCGCGCATGCAGTTTTCAGATGTGATCCTACAGTCTTTGTCGACCATTCAATATGTTCTGCTTAAGCTTGTTTGCAATCTTGAAACCCTGCCTCTCTCGACCAACCACTAAAACCACGTCAAGAATTGAACCTACAATCACAACTGCATCTGGGTATGCAAATATCGATCCAATGATTCAGACATCCTTACAAGATGAAAGAAAACTCCTAAACGTTGTCAAAGCCGAAATCGAATTCGGTATACCCTTTTGGAAGCCTATCGCGGACTTATCATAAACGAGTATGGGCCATAATTGCTATTTTCAGCTCGCCTTCGAAAAAGCCCTGGGAAGAGTCATATTATTTCCTGTCCCCTCAACGTTCAAGCCGGAAATCTCGAACCACTCGATCAATCTATACTGCAGCTTAATCTTGATATCGCCCGGTCTATGGTACCATAGTTAGCCTGGAGGATCCTCAGGATGGAACCAAGTGATGGGCTCTTGATTTGTCAGTCTGAGCAAGGATCAAACTCAGATTGCATCTGTAGATGCCATGTACCTAGTCGCTGAAAGTCTTCGCCCTTTTTTTTGAAAAGTATAACGGTGCTTGCTTTTGTCGGGAATTATACATTGTCTTGCATGATCTATAAAGAGTCAAGCTATCGGGTTCATTCATTCGCAATCAATAAAAGTCTTAGCAAAAATTCTGTCCCGAGTATGTTCGCTTGCCCTAGCTATGTTGTGCTGTTGGTGTATTCTTTCTCTGTCTACGGTCCATATGTTCAAGCCACCTCGTGCAACCAGTGCTTTCTTTCAACAGGGCAGAGGAAATAATTTCCTCATTATCAAGCGGATCTACCCATTTTGTCATAAGTCGGTCGAATACCTTTGTTCAACACAAGCGTTTCATGGTTCGAACACTTCAACCGCCTTGTAGAAGCCTTAAATCAACGTCTTTAACAATTCACTGTTGATACTCAGGACTTGTGTGAGTCGTACACCAGATATCTTATAAAGCGGAGTTCGGTAAGCGTAGACAAGGAATATGACCACAAATTCAGATGCATAGAATTTTTTTATATAATGTCAAAGGATAACGAGAAGCTACCCAAGGTTCCCAGTTCACCAAAGAAGGTGGTGCGACAGAAACGAGACCGGCGGAAGAAAAGCCTTATACATAAGGCCTATGAATATGGCACACAATCCACGCAAACATATTATTAGCGCTTTTGAATATAAATATCCCCTATCTTGCTGGTCATCGGATGACTGCGGTTTACCTATTAAACAGACACAGATGTTAACCTGAAATCAACTCCAATGAAACTTCAACCCAATAATAGAAACTCCAAAGAGATATTTATCTACACTTCTTAATAGTATTCTCCTCAACGCAAGTGATCAACCCATTCACAACTTCTAGTGCCATAGATTCCGGACTCAACACTGTATCCCATGATCCAATCAACAGGTCATTAGATAATTGCCGGAAGTTCCAGACAACTCGGATGCCACAGCTCCAGTTGTCACTTTGCTGGGGAGTAGGCTGCAATCATGTTACTCAATCTGGCTATCAAGAAATTAAGGAAAAGAGTCTATAACTCACTGCCTCTAGATAGGAGAACCCTAGGCTGCCGAATTCCTCTTGGACCAGTTTTGAGAGACGGGTCTCCTTGATGCCTTTGACGGGATCTGGATTTGCCATAGAGTCGTAGTGACGTATGATCTTCTCCTTCTCATTAAGTTCGAGTAGCGTAAAATGATTGTTCCGATGATTTATTGGACAAAAATGAACAAGAGGCGCTGGACCCAAGGTCTGTTTGTGCTTTTCGATCGTCTTTGCCCATCGTGACAATGGTTTCTCAATCTGCTGAATCTGGTTGTTCTTATTCGCATCCAAAGGAATGCTCATATTGTATGTGACATTTGCTGGCTTATCCGATATGTGCATAGCTGCCAAGATAGCCCAGGCATCTAGCCACTTACCTGGATGAAACCGCTGGAATACATCGCATGACAACTCCACACTTCCACTCACAGTAAAACCTTCGTAGCCAGGCTTGGACCCAGCCAGAATGTTGCTTCGAACCCTCTGAATCAAGTCATCAATTGCCATGGTTATTTTGCCATGCAGTAAGTTTCCCTAGATGAAGTAGATTAGTGCAAGCTCACGAACTGATAAGCCGCACTTACATGCTGCATAGGAAAGGTGCCTTGCAGCTCTTCGAGCTCGTTTTCTGCAAGTAGTTCCTCTTCCTGTAGCTCGGTGTAAAATTTGTCAAGATCTGGGGAACCATTCCAGAGTAGGCATTCTAATTGCGAGCTTAGAATATAAAGTAATTTCATATAACACGAGTTGCTTTTGGCGTCTCGAATTAGGTGGTCCAACTTTGTCGTATCCATTTTGGTGAAATCCCTATCTTATGTTAACAGATTAGAAAAGTTCAGTTGAGATAAGACTATACCAGATCTTTCGATGGAATAGTATTCCGATCCCTAGTTCCCTGACAAGCTGGGTGGTTAACTTTTGGCCCCTGCTGAGTTGCATGATAATTTGTTTTCGCCGTAAGTCTTGCATCCTACTGATAGTAGATGAGTTGTTCTTCGGCGTTTGAACCGCCTCATCATGCACAGTAACTTGTCCAACCCCGCTGATCCATCTCGGCCGCTCTTCGTTCCTTATTTCAAGCTTTTCTATGCCGTCCAGCACATGTGTAGCTGCCCCTCGACGATCTACCCGCTTACCCTTTTTGGTGAAAACTGTGTTTTGTGCAATTCTGATCTGGCCATCGTACCATTCCCACGCCCCCATATACTCCAGCATATTGAGAATGGTTACCTTTCTTTGCTTGGCCGACCCCATATCAAGCACTTTCACCCATATAGAGCCATCTGACCATTCATTCCCTGTAGAGACCGATAGTCTTTCTACATGGTTACCATGAAATAGTTTGAAAATTCTCTTATGGATTTCGCTCGAGGCATCATCACGGTGCTCGCCCAGCTGATGAAGAGTTCGGGCCACCTCCAAGACATCTTCCATAATAGAGTCACCTCTTGCAATGGAGTGATCGAGTGTGGGTGGAAGTAGTGGTGTTGGGTCTTTTGTCCCTGAAGCCTCTGTGGGCTCTGATGGCTGCTCTTTGTCCGCTGTCCCAGTAGTAGCACTCGTCACTTCCGCTGACAGACCAGTATTGGGGATCACCGTGGATTTTGCCTCATCATCGATATAGCCATGATTTTCAGTTTCTTTATCGGATCTAGCAGCTTTCATTAATTCTCTTTACTCGAATTTAAAACTAATAAAATATTTCATACCTCAACAAGCGGTTGGTTCTTGTCTTGTAAGACTTGGATGGATGGTAGGGGGCATCCTGGTTTCGCCTCCGTTTCCATGTAGATGGACGGGTATTCATCTCGGTGATCTGCCTTTGAGAATCGAGCCTCTTTTGAATCGCATCCGCGATTCCTTGCGCCGTCTCAGGGGCTTTGTCACAAAGCCGAGATATCATATCATGGAACTAATAATATTAACACATGACAACTTAGGCGAGTTAAGTTTGATTTTATACCTGCTGTATATTTAAAAATCCTTTTAAATCGTCAGGGCCGACCGTACGAACGATTCTCATAAGCAGTGTATCAACTTCAACAAGTATTTCTGATAGATGGGGCTGATCTGTGGCATGAGGACTAATTTTCTCCTGCGACATGTTTTTAGATTAAAATATGTGCGGGCAGTCTGGGACCAGTCTGTGCTAAATTAAATTCATAATATCGACAAAGATACATAGGTAGTGAGGAAAACATGCGTTTTATAGCCAAGATTGCCCTTTGCTTTCCGGCATCCTAGGATGTTAGAACGCGGGTGGCTTGGCAGGCAACACGCGGAGGTCGCAAGGAGTCTGTGCGGGAAACAAAAAGAAAACAACCAGCACCTTTTATTGCGGGTCCACGGTGAAATCCATCTACTAATTACTTTCTGCTCAAATTGTGGGTATACAGCCACTCAATTAGGTGCAGGGGTCGGCTATGGTGCCACACAAAGTTGGATTGAGCTCACCCATTACTGCAGCGCCGCCAGTGATAGTAACATACAACACAAAAACATCATGCTTCATAGGCCGACCAAGGCACAATGTTTATGCAGAGTAAAACATTTCCAAAATCCTCTCCTTCAAGTAACTGGAAATATCGACCGATACATCGTCACCGTCTTCCAGACTTTCAAGGGTTTCATAGTCGGTTGAGTAGACGTATTCACCCAATGCCATCCCGAATCGTGTATTGAGGTCCCCAAGCTCCTGAGGCTTTCCATTATACGCTTGACACCACAAAAAATGGATGAAATGCATCCTAATCAGCTCGATGGTTGTTCTTTGGGTTAGTTTAAAATGAACCCGCGTGTCGATTTTAGTCACAGATGCGTTCAGGTGGACAATTTCGTAACCTAGCTCTAAATCAAATATGATAGAGCAAAACGTCCACTCGCGCAAGGTTGATGCCGAGTCTGGAGACTTGTAGCTCGACACGGATTTTGAAAGCGGACACGGTGTAGAAGGAATGGGAGAAGTCTCGGCCGGTGTACACTGTATAAGTTAGAAGAGGTATTATTTGAGCTTCTCGATCATTTACCTTGACCTTACGGCGGCGGCATTCCTTGCAGGCGAGGGATCGCTGAAATTGTAAGCGTGGACCTAATTAAAAGTATGACCCAACTATCATACAATTTTAGGGATATGGCCTTGACGATTGCCTCGTGCCAAATGCATATCGCGAGTGAACGTTGGAGAAAATACTGCGTCACAATTGTCGCACTTCAGCTTTGCGACGCCGGATTTCTCGCGCCGGGGACGCAGACTGAGCAATGGATACCGGCCTAGTAAAAGCCCTGAGCGCTTGGGTATATTACTTATATAGATAATAAATATAGATTTAACAGCATTACGAGACGAGCAGATACTGAGAAATTATGGTTCCACAATCTATCGGCCAATTTTGGCGTGGGCAACAACAGAATAAAAAAATGCAAGGCTGGCAACAGCTGAATCCAAGTTTCAGGCTCCTTCCTTATTGATAGCTAGTGCTTTCCGATGCACGCACTATACAAGACTTAGAATAGAATATTACAGATTTTAGGTAATGGTATCAAGCTTCTGTCATTTTTGTCCACTCATGAGATATGGGCTCAGGTTAGAAGGCCACGCCAACTGTAGACGCCGGTAATACATAGTTTGAATTCGATATCCATTCGGAATCCTCTTCCAAGCAGCCCGTGAAAGCAATTATCCTTAAATAAGCCCCTAGGTCACATAGACATGACCTGGCCTTATACAATGACGTTCCTGACTACTAGATGCTTGGATAGGCGACATAAAAGTGTTCATTATCAGCTTTAAGTAGATACCGTGGGGGTACTTGCGATGATTGTTCATTAACAGGCAGAGTTTTAGTTATTGATTCGAAAACCAGTCACTATGCCCTGAGTCAAGTAACTTCGCGGGCTGGCTAGTCATATGCCGCAGAGCCAGCCACAGTACGGCCAAGGGCTCATCCTAATCAAACTAGATGCATGCGGAGTGTTCTAGGCCAGCAATAGACTAATGCTGCAAGAGGGAACCTTTGATAAAATACTACAGTAGTTCTGAAATGCACAATACCACCACCAATAACGGAAGGCATGTCGTAGATCCTCAAGGCTGGCATGGGACCTTCGCCTTCAAGGCCAGCGATTAGCTTCTACGTGAATACCACGTTGCATCACACGGTTATACCAATGGTAAAGAGGACTTTGCTCTTAAGGAAGCTACTCATACCTCAGAGAAGGCAGACAGCACCCGTCGTGGTGGGCCTCGGTCTGATAAAGTTGTCTGGCCACCGGAAGAATCCCTTGAAGAATATGAAGACAGCCCGATCGGCTACTCACATCTATCAACTCAAAGTTAGCTGTTATGGAGTAACTCATGTTGAAACCTTGGGGCTTTCTGATGTCAAGGGTGAACCTGCTGTAATCCAAATGTTACAGAGAGTGGCATTTTGCGTCTCGGGGGCTCGGTATCGATGTTTAAAAGTTTCCAAGTTTATAGTGATCTTACAGAGGGGATTTCAATGCCTACATCAAGCTAGCGCTCTAAGACTGTTACTCTCATTGTCCTATATCGAGATGCTAACACCCCATTCAATGCGGTAATTATGTATTTTTGAGGTATGGCTTTATATGTATAGCATTTGTCTTTTGTGCACTGCTTAGCATGGCAGTCTATACCTACATTCTAATCAACTAAAGTTTGGCATTCTCAGCTGCTGTCATTAAACCCTGTTCAGGTACAGAATTGCACAGAAATCCTTTGATATGACCATTTTTACATGGATCTTGAGGTTTTAGCTCCGCTCGCAATCCGGCAATGTCCATTTCACCATCCACTCCGATTTTAGCACCTCTTCAGCAGTCGGTCGCTCTTCCGGACGAAATGACAGCATTCCGCGCATCAAATTTAGGAACGCAGCTTTCTCATTTTCGTCAAACTCGTCTCCCACTTTCCGTCTCCATTTCTGCACACCGACCTCAAATGACTCCTGAAGTGGAGGCCATCTGTTTCCGCTGTAGGATTCTGTTGGACAACCTTCCTCATCGAAAAACCGAGGTCGTCCTTCCCACCGTCGCCACCACTCCAAAGGAATAGGTCGTAGCAGTTAAGGAAGAAACGGTCGGGCTAATGCTTCTTGACCCATTGTGTCTGGATCTCAAATGCATCCCTCTCCTTTCCTACCATAGCTTTTAGGCCAATTTCTCGTAACTCTGTAAACAGAGAGATGGCATCACCGTATAGATGATGCGGGGTCCAGCCATCTCTCGATACTACGTTCGCGACAGAATTCCAGAAATCCTGCACATCATTCCACCCGTCACTTTCCTCTGCATGAACACGAAGATCATCCTCAGTGAAATGTATAGGACATGGAATGTCAAACCCTAGTTCATTCCAACATCTGAAGTATGATTAGCGAAACACTCTACAGAATTTGCCGTGACGTGCTTACCTCTCAAGCCTGATCAGAGATTCCCGCAAGGGTAGAAGTTCGTCATCCCATGTGTCGCCCACGAACAAAATTGGATTGCACCTTGTCCTACCGTGAACAAATCGGAGGACTTTATCGAGAAGGGGAAGCTCTTTAGCAATCTGCTTTTCGTAGAGGTAGAGCAGTATCGAGCTACTCATGAGGCCTCTGATCCGAATCTTCTCCGCTGGATCAAGCTGTTTGAAGTTCTCCGGGGCTTTCAAAATGACTTCACCCCTATAATCAACTAGTCTTGGATGACGTGCTTGAAGGATCAATGGCGCTGCCCAGAGCCCTTGCCAGTCTATAACACTCGAAATTTTACCATCACGGACAAAAATATTTCCAGCGTGTAAATCGGTATGCCAAATATAGGGTGCAACCACGATAGGATCGTTCGGGAGTAAATAAGGAGCAACTTTACGATATTTCCGCAGCAGAGAAATGTGGCTGCTAGGAGAATTTTGAGTTGCTGAGGTCATTAGCGGATCGCCTTCGGCTCTTGGAGTTGCGTACTGCTGGATCCATGCCTCTTCTCGGTGAGCTAGAGAGAGCACATAATCCTGTGGTTGTTTCCCTTCCGAAGTGTTAGTTAGAACGACAAGGAGAAACAGGGGACAAACATGGTCCTCGGTCCAAGGCCATTTCTGCACGTTCGTTGGACCAATAGTGTCTTTCTGCGATTGGACCGATGACAAAACGACGGCGTATTTTGTCTTTGAGCTCAGAAGATATCTCTGCAGAGGTATCGGCTGGCACGGCGTCTCTGATATTAGCACCAGCATAGTACAAACTCCCATAGCTAAGTCATAATTAGCAAGATAATAGACCAGACTTGACTGCGAACACATTACTTATTTAGTGGCGCTTGAAGCATTTTTTTCTCTAGTTGGACTAGGTCCTTTATGACCTCTATCTTCTCTTCGAGAGAAAGATTATCCCATAAATCTTCCAGCTTTGTACCGGGGGCTTCCTCCATAATGATATACTCAGAACCGACAGAGTTATTCACGTCTGCATTCCAAGCATACACTTGAGGTGTTGGTATTCCGAGGATTGTGCGGGCCTGGATTCTCTATTAGAGATATCATACGGAAGAAACATGTTCAGTACTTACAAACTCCATCGTTGCGACTTCAGAGGCTGTAGTGTAGTGTCTAGGCCCAGCAATAGGATGGGGTATTCTTGCAATCACGGACAATCCATTATCCATCTCAAGCCTGAAGGTTTTGTTGAAAGATCCTTCTGCCAGCTTTCTAATTGCAGTGCACGTATCTGCCCCAACACTCTGCGCTGCGACTCTTTGCAGCTCAAGCACATTGAAAGGTGAAAACCGGTCTCGCAGTTGCTGCTCTTCATCCCATAGCCAACGGCCACTGGTATATCGGAAAAGATCCGTGTCAGGCTGTGGCATGCTTGCGGAGCTCATGAAACGCAGAAATCGGTGAGACTTTTCAAAGAGACGGGGAAAGGGGATGATTGGTATTCTTGAAGCCAAGTGTGTTGTATGGTGATGATAACTTCTAGAGAAAATGGTGTTCTTCCACGCAGGTGCAGTACATTTGATTGATAACTTCATTGTTGGCTTCAATAGTGATAATCTGTGTTATGTGAGGAGGTCGCCGCCGCCTTTTAAGTATTTTACGAGTTCCTTCATCGCGGTATCTCCATTATTACTGGTTCGCGCCCGCTAGCCCCATTTAGGCCCCGTTTCAAACACATTACAGCCGCGAAACCCACAAAAGCTTTGACGGTCATGAAATAGTGGATCAGCAAATTTCAGACTAGGCACCGGAAAAGAAAGAAAGCTTGTTGAAGACTCCTAATATTTCGTTCCTAGATACAAAGGTGTACGTCAAATCAGATTTCTTTGAGTATTGCTACTCAAAGTTTCTTTGAGCTGAAACGAGTGACTAGAATCGAGTGGTTGAATAGGACAATCGAGAATGGCTGATTCGTTCGAGAAAAGGGTTGAAGCCATGCCATCAGCCACCAATTCAATCGGTTTCCTTGAAGGATGCAATCAAATCTTCTTCAGCCTTGTCATCATTTGGGTTTTCAGGGTCAACAAGAATTTTGGCCCAAATCTTATGGCTATCCTCGGAGGCTGCAGCTTTCACACCTGGGTTTGCAGCATTCTTGTTGGCTTGGAGGATCAATTCATGTTTTCCATCAACCACTGAGCCTTTGTCCAGTCGCAAGTTGTATTTAGCGTCGTTCTTGGGCGTCTGGCTAGGGAAAACGCGTCTTCCTCGATCGATGTTTGCGGCCTTTTTTATGACTTTGCTCCAAGGAATTCCTTGCGCGAATTCTTTGACAACCTTGGCTGAGAATTTCGTCATTTCTGTTTTGAAGTCAGGCAAGTGCATCACAGATCAAGTTTCATCGAGTTACTTACTGACCGTGCACGACTAATGTTGGTGAATATAACTTGGGATCTGGTTTCTCCTTGTGCTTGAAACCCAAAAAAAGAACTTCTGGTCTTGATGTGGTACTCCATTTTATATTGCGAATATCTCTTAGTGTATAATGAACAATAAAACCCAGTACAACAAGTGGTAATATGGACAACTTCGATTTTTTAGCTGCAGCTCAAGACACTCGCTTAAGAAAAAATGTACTTTTGTTTTTGCTCTGACCTCTTGGAACCCTATTGGAGGCTTTGACCTTGTTGTTGTTGCCCCCCATCAACATCTTTGAGAAGCCAGCAGGTGGACACCCATTTGACCTAAACATACTGATAGAAGCCTGTGAAGGTGTCTATTCCGACTAACATAGCCTCTATTCCCAACACGTTTGTACTCTAACATCCCAGCGCATGCCCTTCACATTCACAAAATCAAAAATTAGTGAACATGAGTCAAAGGTGGTTTGTAAGAACCCCGGTATGTCAAGTCACAGATTGGGTTACGTGAGCTAGGCGTGATAGAACCTGTTGGCGTATTATGATCACAATTATTTGACGACTGTTGGCATGCAAGTTCAATCACAGTGGCTTGCAGGTGCATGTGATTATATCAACAGCAGCTTAAGGCGAGATACCAGCGATTATCCTTCAAGCTCACTGCAGCTAATCTTGGCTGTGGCACCTTTTCCCTTGGCAAAGTGGAGTAACTTCCATGCTGACAACTGCAGTCAAATAACAGGATACATGCCAATCTTTCGAATATCTAGCGGCTCAAAGATAAATAAATGGATCGTTTGTTGTCAAGCCTCTTAGATCGTATGCTGATCGCGGGTCAGCCGCATGTATGTTGAAACCTTCTTTTTCCCAAATCTCCCCATCTCTCCCCATCTCTCCCCATCTCTCCCCATCCCTCCCCATCTCTCCCCATCTCTCCCCATCTCTCCCCATCCCTCCCCATCTCTCCCCATCTCTCCCCATCCCTCCCCATCTCTCCCCATCTCTCCCCATC